CCTTCTTTCTCTTCTTTCTGTCTATTCTTCTTTTTTTCTCTTACTATCTTTTCTTTTCTTTTATTCTTCTTTTTACTACTTTTCTAACATAATGAAAAACAAGAGGCACAGGGAAGTAACAAAAAAAGTTAGTAAGACTAACTTGGTTTAATATCTAAAATTAAGGGTATCCAAAATGTCTCTATTGTACTAATTAATAAAACCTTAAGTCAGATGATATTAATTAATTTAACTATGAGTTCAACAGTTACTCTAATTATCTCTATAGATAACTCTTAGAGCTCATCGAAACCAAGTTGATCTCAACTAATACTATTTAGATCATTTTAGGAGATACAAGGTATTACAAGGCGTTGGTGGCACTCCGGCGGACGGCCTTCGCCCGGGCTCACTGTTGCCCTCGTTTTGGTTGATGTATGCGTTTGAATTTTGAATTCGAATAGAATTAACACTTTGTGAAGTGTTGTAGAATGAATGAAAATAGGTAACACTTGGAAATAATGCAACTTTCAGTGGAAATGTTGTTAAAATGTATTGTTTCATCAAGGCTTGCAACCTTGTGAAACAACACATACATGACATATAAATACTTCATTCAAGAATTCAGAAAAAATACATTACAAATAAAATATACTTTTGAACAAATTCTAAACTTTCTTCGCTACAGATTGAGTTTTCGTCGGTCTTATGCAAATTTGATATAAGGCTAAATTACATAGGTATTCATGCGTTCCAACTCTAAGACATATTTGAGAGTGCTTGAAATACTTTTAAGGAAAGTGATTTCGTTCACGATTTAGTCCAGAATCCATTCAACTTTACCAATATTTCTTAAAAAAATTGCCTTGCCCTTTCCTCCTCTCATTCTCCACTTCACGTTCTAAATTTATAAAGAGAAATAACAAAAGAAAATGAGAGAAAGTGGCTCCATTTCGGTTTATATAATGGCTTAGTGAAAAGACACTTTTATCCTTAGACTTAATTCATATTTTCTAATGATGCCACAAAAGCTTCTTAACTTTAAATCATCTTTAGTAACCCACTTAATCCATTATAAATCTCATGATGATAAGTGTTTCAAAGTTTAGAGTATTATTTAGTTTAAAAAAATAATTTTAGGGTATTATAGTACAGTTTAATTTGATTTGGTTTGATAGGTGATATACAAACTACAAACCAAATAGAATTACACGATTCTGCTCAAAAATGGTCCAGACAAATCCAAATTAAACGTGATTTTTTGTGACTTTCAATTTGGTTATCAATTTTCCATTAGACCAGTTCGATTTTGAACACCCCCATCCAAACACTATAAGTGCTTGGATTAGCTTTTACAAGCCCAAACGTAGGTGTGTTCCACTTCAACGTGAAAACAAACTTATCTCTTTTCTTTGGGTTTTTCTCTAAAAACAATTTTCCTCCTCCAAAAACAATTTTCATTGAAGCTACAATTCCTAATGTTCAAGGTTAGTAAGAATCAATCATATATTTATTATATTTTTCTTGACACAAGTTTTGCTTAATTTTCCTTCTTTACCTTCTTTAATTTTCTTCAATCTTAATTTATATGTATTTAACTATGTTCATTTTACTTCACAAATGTCATCTTTCCTATTTTTATTTGTCTCAACTTATTTATCCCTTTAGAATATATATGTACTATTCATTATTTCTTTCAACTAACTTACCCTTCCTTTTGTATTCTAAATCATGTAACTAATTACTTTGTTATGAATTGATATCGTCAAGAACAAACCAAAAAATGAGAAAAAGATTGAGTTTCTTGAACAAATACAAGAAACCCTGTTATGTTTTATAAAAAGAAGAGAAGAAGGAAGAAGAAGAATAGAGAATTGGTTAAATTTGTTTTTCTATTCACTTTCTCAATAAAAGTTCAAAGATTATAAGTGAATATCAACAATTATCCTCTTTCAACAACCTGAGAGAGTTAGTCTATTTATATACTTATAAACTGATATTCTTTACTTTCTCTTTGAGACAAGATTATAAGTGTTACAGAATAGCAAATAACCTCTCTCACCCTAATTAAGATTTGCACCACCCCCCAAAGATGAGAGACTGACCTGCTATTTATAAGAAAACTAACATATTAACCTAATATGCTTTTACACACAGGCCCATTACACAATCTAACTTAGGGAGCAAGCTAACTTAAACAGTTGAGCTTACAACTAAGGCCCAATTCAACATGCTAACACTTCTAGCATACTTTGACTACAGCATGTGAACAGACTTCGACGACATGCTAAGATTCTTTTGAATTATCGAACCAAGAATCTTCCCTTCGGTCATACTAGAGTTTGATCCAATATCTCACAAATCTCCACCTTGGAACAAACTCTAGAATATCAAGGGAATAAACTAGCTTTCTTCATGCAGCTTTATCAACTACATACAGTGGAAGAACTTGCTACTAGACAATGTCTTCTCCTTCTCCGATAAGGCAACATCCATCTTCTCTGATCCTTTCAACGCTTCTAGCAAACTCTATTGAACAAGAAGAGCTTGCATCTTTAAGCGCCACAAACCCAAATCATTCACACCGATGAATTTCTCAATCTCATACTTTGTTGACGATATTTTCTTCTCCATACTCACCACACTAGTTTGTTGTGAATTATTGTCATCAATAACAAAACAAAGTTATGAGAAAAATATTGAGTTTCTTGAACAAACACAAGAAACCCTATTAGATTTTACAAAAGAGAGAGAGAAGAAGGAAGAAGAAGAATATAGAATTGGTTAAATATGTTTTTCTATTCACTTTCTCAATAAAGGTTCAAATATTACAACTTAATATCAACAATTAAACTCTCTCTCATCCTAATTAGGATTTGCACCACACAACAAAGATGAGAGACTAGCATGCTATTTATAAGAAAACTAACATACTAACCTAATGAGCTTTTACACGCAGACCCATTACACAAGTTAACTTATGGAACAGACTAACTTAAACAATTAGGCTTACAACCAAGACCCAATTCGACATACTAACTTAAATTACAAGTTAATATATTTTGGCAGCATGCTTGAACAGACTTTGACTACAACATGTACAACTCTGGTAGAAATATCAAGCTACCTATGCCGACACTAGAGTTCGATCCAAAATACCACAAATCTCCACCTTGGAACAAACTCTACACAAACAAGGGAACAAACTAGCTTTCATCATCTCTGACCCTTTCAATGCTTCTAACAAACCCTGTTGTATAAGAAGGGCTTGCATCTTCAAGGGCCACAAACCGAAATCATTCACACCAGTGAATTTCTCAATCTTATACTTTGTTGACATCATCTTCTCCTTCACGCTCACTGCAGCAGTTTGTTGTGAATTAATGTCGTCAAGAACAAACCAAAATATGAGAAAAAGAACTCAATAAGGGTTTAAAGATTACAAGTGAATACCAACAATTAACCTCTCAACAACATGAGAGAACTAGTCTATTTATAAACTTATAAATTGTTATTCTTTACTTTCTCTTTGAGACAAGATTACAAGTGTTACAAAATAGCAAATAACATCTCTCACCCTAATTACGATTTGCACCATCTCTCAAAGATGAGAGACTAACATGTTGTTTATAAGAAAAATAGCATATTAACCTAATGGGCTTTTACACACATGCCCGTTACACGAACTAACTTAGAGAACAAGCTAACTTAAACAATTCGACTTACAACCAATGCCCAATTCGACATGCTAACACTCTTAACATACTTCGACTACAACATGTAATCAGACTTTGACGACATACTAGAGTTCAATCCAATATCTCACACACTTATTCTAAATTATGTAACTAATCACTATCTATTATTAATAAGGTTATTTTAATAAATAATATTTACTTTATCATTAGCGTCAACACAATTAATCATTATCTTAAAAAGTAACATCTATTATATGAAAGAGGGAATAATAGTTATGCATTCTAAATTAATTTTGATAAAAACTATTCTAACAAAATTAATTAATAATAATAATAATCAATTCTATAATATTATATTCAAACTCAAATCAATTATACTAAACTTAGTTATGTTAAAACCTAAAAATCAATTCTCACTATCTCAATTCTATCAAAATCATTTATATTATCCGCCAATATAAAGACACTAAGATTCCTAGTAACCCAATTAAATTCATACCATAGGCCAAACATTTAGCCCTTATACCCATGTTAATTTTCACTCACAAGGCAAGTGTACTAGCATAACCGTGGGGTCATTGGAATTAAAGAAGCAATTGCCAAGTTGGAAATGGTAGGTGAAGAAAATCAGTTAACATATAGGACAAAAATTAAAGGTGTTGGAAAGGACGGATTTGAAACCCACTAACGAATGCAAATGACTCTGGTCGATGCAGAATACAAATTAGTATAAAAATGGTACCGAACCAAAGGACAGACAAGAAACTTGCAAAGAATAAGCCTAGTGAGTAATGAGTACACCAGCAAACAACACATTGGATGAATGCACAATACAATACAATACAATTACAAAGACACCTAATAACAACAAACAATGCCAAATATTTTTCTATCATTTAACTTTAGGAACTTCGTCACCAATTTCCTTCCTCAAATTCAAGAACAATTTCATAACTTAAAATTACTCTTATGAAATTAGTGAAACCACTTGATATCAGAAATGACTCTCGAACCAGATTAATCGGTCTAATCGGACTGAATAGTGAAAAGAAATTACTCTTAAGATACTACTAACAAGAAGATATTCATAATTGGGTATTTCCATATGATGTCAACTGTATTCTTTAAATTTAATTTCAACAAAACTTTTCCTTACATAGCAGAAAACATTTTTAAAAGGAAAAGAATAAAAAAAGACTCTAGTTACTCACTGACTACTCTCTTTTTTCCCTGCCTCATGGAATCACCAAAAGACTATCATCATTCATCTCACCATCATTTTGAATTGAATGAAATTAAGTTCTGACATAATGACAACTCACATCACATGACATTGCAAGCATTAGGATTCTCATCACTGAACATTTGTGGTGGTTGAGTATGCATATGAATATGTAACAGATTTTGGTAAACTTGTTCATTATATCCCTCATAACTTCCATTTCCATAACCAAAACCATAACCAAATGCTGGTTGAACCATATACTCCATTTTCTTAACTTCTCCCCCTTCATTGTTATTATTGTTATTCTCACCCCCTTCTCCTCCTCCACCACCACCACCCTTGTTCTTTTTCTTCCCTCCTCCTCCACCTCCTTCATTCTCACCACCTCCACCACCACCACCACCTTCCTTGTCTTTCTTAGGAGGAACAACCTCAACTTTCCTCTTGAGCTTCTCAGTCAAATTCTCAACCAGTTTCTTCACATCCATTGTACCCTTCACAGTTACAGTATCTTTCTCCTTATCTATTGTCATTTCAAGCACACCTACACAAATCAAAATAACATTTCTTCAAACAAAATTCACCAAATCATATACGAAAAAAAACATTTAACAGAAAGAAAAAAAAACTCACCTTTGGTTTTCAACACAATCTTGCCAATTTTGTCAATACATCCTTGACAGTGTAGTAACATTTTCAACACTGAAGTGGTAACCGTCTGTTAAATTAAACATAAATTAAATCAGAATCATAAAAATAACAGTTACAGTAAAATAAAAAATAAAAAAGATTGATGAAAACAAAAACACAACCTCTTTCTCTTTGGTTTTTTGGTCGTCGGTTTTCGTTTTCTCATCGGACTTGTTGTTTGTTTCCGTTTCCTTCTTGTTCTCTTTCTCCTTCTTGGGCTGTGGAGAAATAAGTTCCACTTTCTTCTTTATCTTCTCCGCGAGATTATCCCTCACTTTAACAGGGTCCACTTTTCCGACGACGGTTACTTTTCCGGTCTCACTCTCTGCTTTCACCGTTTCCACACCTTAAAAAAACACACACGGTTGTCAAATCTCAGATCAGGTTTTGTCTCAGTGGTAGCAGAAAAAACAGAGTATAAGAAAAAAAATAAAATAAAACCTTTGATGGAGCGAAGGTGTTTGATGATTTTGGAAGCGCAACCGTCACAATGCATGGAGACTTTCAAGACCATGTTGTTGTTGTTGTTATTGTTGTTATTGTTGTTGTTTTCATTATTTCCTCCATTGTTGTTTTCTTCATTTTCCTTGCCTCCATTGTTGTTGTTGTTGCCTCCATTTCCCTTATTTTTCTTTTTCTGTAACAACAAAAAGAGTTAGCATTTTATTATTACTACATGAAAAACAGAAAGAAAGAAAAAGTGATGATAGTGATAGTGAATGTGTAATAATTACCGCCATTGTGGTTTGTTGAAAGATGTTAGAGGAAGAAGAGAGAGTGTGATTTGTAACTGCTATTGTGGGAGTCTGAGTAACGCTTAGTACATAAATAGTGGCAAAAGATGAACATGCTGCGCGTATTTGTTGTGTGGGCCCACACGCCATTAACTAGTACTAACTTTTTTCTTTTTTTTTTATCTTTGTTCAAAAAGCACCTTTGGTCTAATAAAAATGTTAATATATATTAAATATTAAAAATTCATAATTAAATAGATTAATTTCGTGGTGATTGAGATTGAATTTGATAAGAAGAAGGATTAGAATTACTTGATTTAGAGGTGACTTTCGAATTAGAATAATTGATCTGGTGAATAGGATATTGATGGTGAAAAAAAAACATAATTGAAATATCATTTAATATAAATTTGTTTTTGTTTTTAAGTTTGGCATGTGTGGTTAGGATGTAAATTAAGAAAAATATATTGTTTAATATATTTTAAGTTTATGATTCTATTGACTTGACCAAAGAGCAAGAAACTTCTTGGCTCTTGTAGTTAGGTAAAATATAAGGGTGTTTTGTTGTGTTCTTCTTCTCATCTACCGTCTAACTTCAATTGGATTGGACCTCCATTGGTATGTTTGGTAATGTTTTATTTGTAGACAAGGTCAATTTGTTTCTATCTTTTGCTTTTTCTTACTTTTTTGAGAGATGCTTCCTCTATTGTTCTAAGAAGTTTCAAAGAAAAGTGGGCTAATTTAGTTCTTTTTGAATTACACATTCGGAGATGTTAATTCAGATGAGTAAAAAATATTTCATTAATATTAAATTGAATATATTGTTTTATCCATATGATTATTTTTAGTATATTTTTGTTTTATATAATTCAAAATTTCCACTCTAATAGTGTAAGATGAAAGAAAAAGATAAGAAATAGATCACTAGTTTCAAATTCTTGCTAAATCCAGCATATTTAAGTTACAATTTACAGCGTATATAGGCAATGGATTTAGTGTTGAACCAGTTCTAAAATGAGAACAAATAATTAATTAGGTGTTTATACTTTTGGAGTATTCATGATTGAATTTGAGTTGGGAATACTTTTTGGATTTGGTTCCTCTTCTTTTTTATATATCATGTCATTTCTCATGTTTCTAATTTAATGGGTCAGAATTTTTAATAAATAATTAAATAAAAAGTCATTTAATTACTTATCTATTTTTCTCTCCTATTAAATGATTTTTTTTATTTAATTATTTATTATAAACTCTGAACCGTTAAATTAAAAACATGAGAGATGACATGATATATAAAAAAGAAGAGGATGCAAAACCTTATTTTCTCAAGATGGATATTCCCAAATAGAAATAAAGAGATTTTATTGAATTTTTGTGTTTGAATAAATTCTTCAAAATTAAATATATATTTATAGATGAAAAATGATGAGTATATACTCATAGTATAAAATAAATTACGTGTGAATCTATAATCAAGTGTTATGACAGAATTTCTCTTTAATTATGATAATTGTTTTTTCGCTATACTACACTTTTTTTTCTTAATATACTGAGGTATAGTAATATCATGTTTTTGGAGCAATGATTCATTTCATTATTTTGAATAAATGACTATTTCAACTACCATAATTTATGTGCATAAATGTATAATTAGTGTCATAATTCTGAAAATAAATACATTTACATTATTTATTTAATTTAAAAAAATAGTAATAGACATCTTCGTTTCTTCTAAGAAATGAGGAAGATCTCAATCTCATATTCTGTCATCATAGATGAATCATGCTAAAAAACATGCATGTTGAGCCATGCGAGCGTCACGAACAGGAGTCACTTAGGCGTGACGAGTTTGAAGTTGTTCAAGCAGAGCGTTTCAGAGAGGTTCTGAACATCTGACAGTTTATGACAATAATTTTAACAACTTTGTCTCGTATGCTACAGAGCAATTTAAAGAGATTCATCATAACATGGCTTCAAACCAAGTTGCAACTCAAGCTGACATCCGTGATATGATTCATTATCAAAATGACAATCATCATCACTATCTTCAGTTTTATCGGGAAAAGTGTGACTTGTTGGATGATGAGCATGGTGTTGATGGTGTAGCTTGGTTCCGTGGTAGAGGTAAGGTCGAGGTAGTGGTCATTAGTTACGCATCATTGTGGATCTAGTCTTTCTTATGCATGCGTTTATATTTTCATGTCTTTATGTTCGTTGTGTTATTATTTTGCAACCTTTTATGACAAATGTGTAATGGATATTATTTATTTTAGCTATACCTGGTTGTGTATTTATGATTAAGCATTGCTTTCAATTTGACGTAATTCTATGTGAGTGCGCGTTATTGTTGATTCGTTTAATCTTTACAACACCTCTAAGTGAGTTATATGTTATTGTGTAATTATCATGATACTTCTCACGTTTTTCGTCTGTGTATCTTTTTTATGTTGTCAAAGAGGGAGAAGTACAAAGTTTTATGATGCACATATTCAGGGGGAGCTTTGCCAAAGACACCAAGTGCTTAGTATGTTTTGCCATCATAAAAAAGGAGGAGTATGTGAGTGCACTATACTCTTAGATATATTTTGAATGATGTCAAAACTAGGTAGCTTAGTACTTTGTGTATATTGGATCTTACCGTCTATGACTAGATGTGGATCATCATAATAGGACATGTAAAATTATATTAAATAGGCCATTACATGCAACAAAATATGAATTTTCATGAAAAAGTACTCAATGGGTCAATACACTCTTGGTATGTATCGATACATATTGAGTAGTTTTTAAAAGGAAAAACGTATATCCTTAATGTATTGATACACAAGTCTTTTAGGTCGATACATCTTGTGAATGAGTTGACTCATTCATGGGTGAAGTCGACTCTAACTGAAGGGTTTTCAACCTAGTAATCATTGTCCTCAATGTATCGATACATTGATGGTGTGGATCGATACATCAGGCTGATGAGTTGACCCCCCGTGTTTGGAGTCAACACCTTTTAAAGATTTTTCAAACATAAACTTTATACCCTTGATGTATCGAATCCATTGTGCTTTGTATCAACTCCTAAGGCGTATGTATGTATTGACCCATTCATAATTGAAGTCAATACATTCTGTTCCAATTTTCAAAACTGGCATTTTTTGGCTAAAAATATTTTTTGCTTATTTTCTTTCTACTCACACACACGCATGCATATAAATATGCATTCATGTATCATTTCTAAACATTGAAACCAAGAACACACTTAGATTTTTTTCATCATCTTCAACCTTTCTTTGCATACATTCAACAACTACACATAATCATTTTTGTTGAGTTTCATCAAGATTATATTGATGAGGTCCAATTTAGGATTGTTGTAATCAAATTGGATTGAGTTTTTCTTTGGGGGTTTCATTGATAAAACCTTTAGGTTTTTCCTCCAGAATTATGGGTTAATTTGAAGGTTTTTGCACAAGTCTTTGCAACTTGGATTTAGTCGAGTAAAAGCTTTGAAGAACAGGGGTTCTATCAAATGAATAGTGGTAATCGGAGGAACAATTGAAAGACTTAGGGCAAGATTTTTCAATTTAGATTCAAGCCAAGTGAAAGCTTTAAAGAGCGGAGGTTCGGTCAAAGGAGTAGAAGAATCCAGAGGATCAATTGGAAATCTTGTGTGACTTGATCTAGCTAAGATCAAGGGAAGAGAAGAAGCTAAAATCAACATCAAACATTGAGTTTGAAGGTTTGAATTGTTACTAATTCTCTGGTAAAATACTCTTGCAAAGTTTAATTACATATCTCAATTCTAATTTGAATTAAGGGCAGACGTACCCATAGTGAAGACAATTGGGGAACTGCCTAAACAAATCTTGGTGTTCTCTCTCTCTCTCTCTCTCTCTCTCTCTCTCTCTCTCTCTCTCTCTCTCTCTCTCTCTCTCTACAATTTGATAACACTTAATGAGTAATTTGATTTGCTAAAAATTCTGGTTATGTTGAAGCATCTTAAACAGTTTTTGTAAAACCATTGCAATCTAAGAAATTGCAATAGATTTGTCATACCTTCAACACAAAGAGAATTAAGCTTGGTGTATTGCACGCAAGTGTTTGATAAATTAATTGCATAATAAGTGTTCAATAAATTTCCTGAGTCAAGTTTATTTTTACATTTCATTGGAAATCGTTTATCATTGTGTGGTTTATATTCAAACACATTGTTTAAATCCTATTGGTTTATTTCTCATATTTAGCTTACTTTTACTACGGTTTATACGCATATTTGTTTCTACCAATAACAGTTTGCATAGATGAGTGTCGATCTAGATTTGCTTCCGCTTGCCATAGAAAATATTTTTCAAAGAAGATTTTTCAATAAGAAATTTTTATTTAGTGATTTGTTCAACCCTTCCCTCTAGATCGTTTCCCTCGTCTAACAATACATCTGTAATTGATAAACTTCAACTCTCCAGGTTTCACTCCCAACAACGTATAACCCTTCCTCCCTCTTGGATAACCTTTGAAGACACATTAATTCAAAAATTTACCATTAAGATGAATTGACCTAACTTGATTAATAAGAAGAAAAATTTTTACGACCTTCAAAGTTGTTCAGATTACAACTGATCTTGCCGGATCAAAAAAGGATCATCAGCTAGCACACGTCGTGAGCTCCTTCATTCGCCGGTGGTGGAGAAGAGGAGGGGGTGTACCTGCAAGGTACTCCGATGTCAAAGTAAGTTTCAGCAAGAGAGAAAGAAAGTACAGAGAAAAGGTGTAGAGAATAGAATACCTGGCTCTTTAGTGAAATAGGGTATTTATAATGTGCCCCCAGCACAGGGCCAACGGTTACTTTGCATTGGGTTGGATTGCAAGACCCAATATGAGTAACTGCTAAGGCTTATGTGGCGTAGGGAAGACCAGCATTGTGGAGGCAAATCGCCACATATCACACAAGTCTGCAAGACATTGGTTAATGCAGATTTCGATGATGACAAATTCCCTGGATAGATTGGAAATTATGA